CCCCGCATCCCCCTCCTGTTCTGAAATGTGATTTGTCCTTTTCATATGTGTTCACTTTTTTTTAATTGTATCCTTTGGTATATATGGTTGTGACTATTTTCTTCCACTATTTGATCTGAGGAAGTGGGTCTGGCCCACGAAAGCTCATCATCTAATAAACCATCTTGTTAGTCTTTAAAGTGTTACATTGTCCTGCATTTTGCTTCAGCTACCCCAGACTAACACGGCTACATTTCTATCACTATTCTACATGTATCAGATAGGATTGTGTTTCTGTGGTCTGTTGGAGCCTTTACATTTGTGACTATTGTCTTTGAAGCAGTTATTCCCGATTTAGACTGGTGTGAGTGAACCTCTGGACTTTGTTTAGAGAGTAAGCTGTTTGGTGAAGGGAGTTTGTTCAGCTCATCTACTTATTGTACAAAAAACAATAATAAAAAGTGTCTGAGTAAACATTCACACCTGGACCAAAACATCTTCACGATGAAGTTGAATGTATATATTATCTAGGTTAGCACTAACATGTATGATGGATTCTGTAACCTTTGACTTACTTACTTAGAGGAACATTATCTGAACTTAGTCCACCAAACAGGAAAAGTTTATCATCTGCTATAGGAGTCAAAGTGTGCCACGATCGATCTTTTGGTTTCTCTCCACTACTATGAATTCTTGGTAAAACAAAAAATAAGAAAAGACCAAGTTAAGAAGAATATCTAAACTGAACTGGAGTGGTAGTTCATCATTTTCTAGAACAAGATGAACAGGCTACAGTAGAGCAGTCCTCAGCTATTCTAAGTAACACAGATGTCCAAAACTGAAACAAGAAATTCCTTGTAACAGCTGCTCTTTGAAAGCAGCACTTATGACAAAGATCTTATAATCACATAGCAAGTTTCCATCCCCCAAGATACTTTATAAATCTTAAACTTATGTATGAAACACAGGGACTGCTTTTTAAAACCACTGAAGTGATTATTTAACATACAAGAATAACTTTAGGATGAAAAGTGAGGAACAATATGTCCAACTGAAACCAAATATTTAAGTACATAGGCTGCAGTTACTCAAGCTAAAATGTAACCAGGATAGCAGAGTTATAATTCTCATGATGCTGAGAAAAGAAATAGATCTTTAATGACTACAAATGGCTGGAACCTTGGCTTTACTTCTTATTCCCAAGATACCACACTTCTACAGGCACAATACCCTCTAATCAAATGGCAGGACACAGGAGTCACTTAACTATTTCCTGCAAAAGCTAGGTGCTTCTGGGGACTCTCCCAAAACCTGATGCTTAGTTTGCAAGACCTGAGAGAATCACAGAACAAAATCCGTGATATTTATTGGAAAAACGGTTACTTACTTTATATTAATCGTGTTCTTCAACATGTTGTCCGTGTAGATCAGATTCTAGATGTGCATGTGCCTCATGCATGTTAGATAGGAATCTCTGAATTTCAGTGTCCGTTGTGCTATGCATATCCTCATACTTCCCCACCCTAGGGCATAAAAGGCAGAGTGGCCGCAACCATTCCTTAGTTTCCTCACTAAGGAAAGTGAGGATGGAGGGCAGGTCATGAGATCCCCCAGCTGACATCTCAGAGAAAAAAAAATTACTTACTGGAACTGTGGTTCTTCAATTTATGATGCAAACATGTATTCCATTTAGATGTGTGCATGCTCAGCACATCAGAGTCAGAGAAATTTGCCTCTGGAATCCATGGGGGGGCACTCATGACTTTTTTGCCATAGTCCCTCCAATGCTTACATAAGGTTGTGCTGCCCCAATCCTCTCTCCGTTCCTTCGCACTGAACACCCAGGACTGAGACTCTGATGTAGATGGGATGGAGGGTAGGTAGTAGAATGTATGACTGCATGACATCTTGAAGAACCAGTTACTACTTCTTCTTTGAGCAGATGCAGATGTGTATTCTATTTAGGTGATTCATAAGCAGTACCTCCCTAAAACATCAAGCTCAGAGCCTACCTAACCAAAGACTGTAGGACCACTCCACTAAAGACTGCATCCACCCTAGAAGATACAGTTATGGTATAATGGTTCATGAATGCATGCATCAATGACCATGTAGAAGCTTGGCAAATGTCCAATACAGAAATGTCACTGAGGAATGCTATGGACATTGCTTGCACCCTCATAAAATGAGATTGGACTCATTTAGGGAACTTAGCCAGAGCTATTTCATATGCACACTTGATGCAGCATGATATCCATTTAGACATTATCTATGAAAAGACCATTTGACCCTTCCTGTGATCTGCATAGGACACAAATGAAGCAAACAATTTAGTCCTGTCCAGACATTGCCTGACTTCTAAGGTACAGAGACTGCTCCTCCAGAGATGAACATGGCTTAGGAAAGAATACAAGTACCATCTGGTTCACATGAAACCGGGAAACCATTTTAGGCACAAGTTGTGGATGCAGTCGTAAAGACACTTTGTTTTGGAGACTTGTGCATAAAGAGGCTCTGCCACGAGAGCTTGCAAATCACACACTCTCCTTGTGGATGTTATCACTACCAGGAATGCAGTTTTCTGACACAAAAGCAGAAAGAGATTAGACTGTTAGGATTGAGTTAAAGCCCCACACAGGAACAAGCTCTCAGACCATGAAATGTAGATAAAGGAGATCTTTTTAAGAACCTTGCTACCATGGCACTGGAGAAGACTTATCTTCCTGGCATTAGGGGAGAGGACTGAAGTGCCAATAATGCTGCCAGATGCACTTCCAGTGAAGTGAACACAAGCCCCAACACCTGAAGGTGCAACAGTACTCCAAAATGTACTGAATAGAGAAGAGTGTTAGTTGGATTCTATGGACTAATGACCACATTGAAAATCACTTCCATTTTGTTAAATTGGGTCATGATGATGGAAGGCTTTCTGTTGTTAAGAAAGCCTTGTTGGACAGCCACTGAAGACAGCTCTTCCTTCTTATTCAGCGATGCAGCAGTTACACTGTGAAATACGGGGAGTGAATGGAAGGATCCAAGGATGACCTGAGGGATGACTGAAATCAGAAGAAAGGCACGGAGGAGAGCCAACTGCCAGCTGAGGTGGAATGCATTGGACAGAGAATGTAGACTCAGGTCCCTGTTACGTTGACAGCATAATAGGCATTTTCCTTTGTCCCTTGTAGCGAACAGGTCCATCATCAGGATGCTCCAAGCTGTGAAGATGACCCACAAGACACTTTTCTTTAGGAACAATTTGTGACTCAAGGAAAAATATCTGCTGAGATGAGCTATGAGATTATTATGAACCTTGAATAAGTGAATAGCTATCAGAGTAATGGTCACTGCAATGCAGAATTGCCAGCGTCTGACTGTCTCTAGCCAGAGCAATCTGGAGTGTGCTTCCCATTACGGTGGTATTGTTGGTAAGTATGTGAACTACTGAGTCTCTGATATGGCCCTGAAAAGCATGACATGCATTGTAGATAGCCTAAAGCTCCAGCACATTGATATGGAGTAAAGCCTTCTGCTCCTACTACACTCTCTGCATTTTCAGTGACACCACAATAAGTGCCCCCACTCCCCAACTCATCAAGGAGGCATCAGTAAAAAATGACCTGGTTGATGAGGACCAGACAGAGGAAACATGTTGCCAGATATTCTCCAGATGCATCCACTGCTGCAAGAAGTCCAGAGGAGACTGATGAACCAGTTTGTCGAGAGGGTGAAGAGTAGGACGGTAAGTCATCTTGAGCCACATTTGAAGGGGGTGAAGGCACAACCTTGCAAACTGGACCAGCTGCATTCAAATGAACATATGGCCTAAGAACCTCAGACACCCTGGAACTGTCACAGAAGACAGAGTCTGCAGACTAAGGCCGAGGGGGTGAACAGTCTGAACATAGTTGATTGGAAGAAATGCATTCAATATTATGAAATTTAACAGGGCTCCAATAAATCAATCTTTGAGCGGGAGCCACGGTTGACTCCCCAGTGTTTAGACTGAGATCCAGATGGTTAAGCATTGTGATGCCAATGCAATCAAGAATTTCCTCTCTAGATGTGCCCCTCAATAATCAGTTGTCTAAATAGGGGTAAATGTGAATTCCTTTCTTCCTGAGATACACCACAGTATTTTATTAAAACCTGGAAGGCAGAAGAGAAGCCAAATGGAAACAGTATGACCTGAAAGTGGCATTCTTCCATAACAAATCAAAAGAATTTTCTGTGGCTTGGCAAAGCACCACATGAAAGTATGCATCCTGAAGGCCCAGAACAACAAATCAGACATTCGGCAACTACAGACGGAGTCAACAGACTGACCATTAGGATCCTCACATATCTGATATATTTGTTGGGGCTGCAAAGGTCAAGGAAGGGTCTTATCCCTCCCTTGAATATGAGTACCAGGAAGTGCCAGAAGTAGAAGCTATGTCACTTAAACGTAGCCTTAGTCATCATTTATTCTGACTGTGAAGTGATACTTGAAATCAGATTAGTAAGATTAAATCACACGTCAGCATAATTCTTTGCTGATTGTTGTAAGTGTCTGTATTGTACATCTAAAACTGAGGAACATTTTTAGGTTTTTATTAGCTTTTCTTTAAATTCAGCTTGCTTGCATGCATTTTCATTTTTCTATGTTGTCTAGAATTTCAGATTGGGAAGTTCTTTGGAGCTTTATAATTATGTTCATGTGCAAGTTGTGATATGGAATTCAGCTTCTTCACCCAATAGTGTGAAATCGCCTGAGCTGAATTACAGAGCAAATAACAGATTTTGCCTTTTGCAGTTGTACACCGTTCCACATGGAGGAGCACAAGTCATGGGCATAAGTTACAGCTAGTATTGTGCTATAGCAGTGATTCTCAATGAGGGGTCCCGGATCTCCCGATCCCATGAGCGAGCTTCAGAGGGTGTGCCAAGCAGGGCCCGCATTAGACTTGTTGGGACCCAGGGAAGAAAGCTGACGTTATCTCTGGAGTTGAAGCCCTGAACCCTACCATCTGATGCTGAAGCTAAAGCCTGAACAATGTTTTTTTCACAGGGCCCCCAGCAGTTGCTCTGCTTGATACCCCAAACACAGATGCTGGCTTTTACATGCAGAAAAACAGTTGTTATGGCACAAGTGTTCTCTGGAGAGGTTATAGGATGTTGAGGCAGGGCAAGACCCTCGAGAAGAAAAAAGTTGAGAACCCCAGTCCTATAGCACTTTGTTAGTTGGAGTTGGTCCTGCTTTGAGCAGGGGGTTGGATTAGATTACCTCCTACCCTAATCCGCTATGATTTTATGATTGAGAAGTACTGTGCTATATTAGCATAGCAACGGTCTTAGTTCACCTAAAAATGTCATAATATTGATGTCAGAATAAAATAACCTGATCTGAAGATGCCTAGGATCTAACTGTGGTGATCAAGGTCCAAGCATTGGGACAGTGGGATAGCCTGTCCCCAAAGTGTGTGCATGTGTGGGGAAAGGGGAATGAGGAGAGAAGAGCAATGACTGAAACAGTGCTTTGGACCAAGGAGTCAAAATGGGTTCTTGGAGGACAGTGCGTATACTGGCTGAACCCACATCCAACTACTTTCTTCTGTGTGCACACATCTTAGTGGAATACATATCTGCATCTGCTATAAGAATAGTCACAATTACCAGATAATGAACCATATTTTTGCTTCTCTGAGTATGAATCCACTCTACGGACTGATAAGCAATGCCCCATCTGCAAGGTGGGACTGAAGAGTCATAACTGCCACGAATAAACAGTGCCCTATCAAACTTGGCATCTGATTTTGCTGCCAACTCCAGGGATTAGGGTTTAATAACCATAAGTCGAACATCGTGTAAGGAGCATCAGCTGTTAGAGCTTGGAGTTTGCTGACATAATGGTCACCAAAAAGGCCATCTTAAGAGTAAGGTGCTATTAAGAGCAGTTTAAGATAGGCTCAAAGGGGAGCTCCCTGAGTCTTGAAAGGACAATATCCTATTCCAGAAGAGGTTCCTTTACTGGCAGGTAAGTATAGAGAAACCTCTTTAAAAATCTGGATGCTGTGAGGTAAACGTGACTGGATGGCATGACAAAATCATTGTAAGGTGGATCTTAATGGAATGGAATCAATGTACATAGTGTTTCAAATGCAGAATATAATCCAAGATTTTAGCTACAGGTGCCTCCAATACATCAGGTGCTGGGTTGCCCAAACTGAAAATAATTTTCACTTTGGGTGTGTCTAGACTACAGGGTTTTGTCGACAAAAGTGGACTTTTGTCGACAAAACTATACCTGCGTCCACACTGCCTTCGAGTTATGTCGACATAACGTTGACAAAACTCAGCAGTTTTGTCGACATATGTAAACCTCATTCTACGAGGAATAATGCCTTTTGTTGACAGAGTTCTGTCAATAGAAGGCATTATTGCATCTACACTGTCCTTTGTGTCCACACTGTTATGTCGACAAAGCGGCTTGTTTTGTCGACAGAACTGGATGTAGTCTAGACGCTCTTTGTCGACAGAAGCTTTGTCGACAGTATCTGTCGACAAAACTTCTGTCGACAAAACCCTGTAGTCTAGACGTACTCTTTGAGTGGTTAAGAGTGACAAACAGGTATTTGTGAGGGTATAAGCGTATAATGTGTGTGAATTAGTAATTTTGTAATTACATATAAAAATCAGGAAATTATGGAAAATTAGGCAGGGTCGGCAACTCTGGGGGTTCATGACAGATAACTCTACTTATGAAGTCTGCTAAATCATTGTTGGTTCCTTTCAGATGGAGAGTTATTGGGGTTATATCCCATATTTTTGACACCATATCCACAACTTGATTCTGTCCTGGCAAAGGCTGGTGAGCAAGAACATACTTGATTATTTATGCAAGAACATTTCAGATATGTTGTCTGAGAGATCCTTCTTTAAAACAAGTATAACAGCTCTGCAAGTTAATCTGATTGCTTGTTATTTATGAGAAAGATCATTTCTTTTGGATCCAAATTCCTTGTATTTGGAGGCCATCCAGAGATGTGCCCCTATCCATTCCTGATGGATCTGTATCAGTGTCTTTAAAGGAGGTGGTGTGGAGAAGGGGACACCACTCTGAGCATTTTGGGGTCAGAAAAACAATTCAGTAATGACACAATGTAAGTGGAGAATCACAATATGCAGGCTCATTTGATGATCCAGCGACGATCCAGGTAATGAAACACGAACCATAGCTAGCCTTGTATTACATGTGGCCACATGCATACTAATATGTAACTTAGAAGTCTGAGGCAGGTTCTTATTGTGTCTGATGGATTCATTTTGATGCTGGTGATCATCATCTAGAGCAGTGTTTCTGAAAGTGTACCACGGAAACACTTTCAGAAACACTTTAACTGGCTGCCCTGGTTTGTTTATGTACCGGCGCCGTGGCCATGGAGCCTCGCGGTTCCCATTGGCTCAGTTTCATCTTCTGCAGCCAAGGGGAGCTGCGGAAAGCGGCGTGGGCTGGGTCACCACTTCCCATGGCTGCTCTTGGCTGCAAAGAACGAAACAGAGCCAATGGGAGCCGCGAGGCTCTGTGGCTGTGGTGCCAGTACATAAACAAACCAGGGCGGCCAGTTAAAGTGTTTCCGAAAGTGTTTCTGTGGTACACTTTCAGAAACACTGCTCTAGAGAGCATAAAATCTGTCCTCAGAAAGGTATGTGTAACAAGGCAGAACCTCCTGGAGTGTTCCCTCATGGCTACAGGTACTACAGCCTCAGTATTCCTTTTTTTGTTCAATAATGCCCTTGGAATAGGCTAATTTATTAACAAAATTTATTTCAATATAAACTCGCAAAGTATACTCCATCATCATAATGCAAAAACTAGGCTCTTCAGTCTCCCTTTTAAAATCAGAATGGTAGATTCCAAGACTTCTCTCTTGTGCACCCTAGCCAAACTCAAACCCCAGATGAAAAGTGCAAAACCGAGTCTGCTGGCCTTCTGTTTAACAAAAATGCAAAAGTAACCAAGGTCCATCCTTTCTGGGCTTATATTCTTAGTCCCTCCTGGGTTCTCCCACAGATCAAAATTATTCTTTTGGGCCTTCTTCTCCCTGAA